CTGGATTACCTACATACATATATAAAACGTGAGCTAAAGCTCAATGAATAACAACTGCGTAATGGGGTTGCGAATGATAATCACAAAGTAAAATCAATTAAATACAGAGTAGGTTCCTATTACATATAGAAGGCATAATGTAATACATGGTACATCCAAAGCAATACATACAGGCAGTCTAGAAGACCGAACAGGCGGTCACGAAGACCGAAGATCAGATGTGATGGCCATCACTATAGTAAACAAGAGTTTCATGAATTAGAATTGACAGAGATCTCTGTAAGCATGTAAACAACTGCTAAGGATGCCACGATAAATAATGATGTAAACAGAAATAGAATCGTCATTCATAAATACAGGAAAACGTATCAGGACAAAATATAATTTTAAAGCAAGGAAAAGGTACTTTAAATAAAACATATCTTTACAATAGTGTTACTCACAGTTGGTTCCGTGATGCAGGTGACTGAAACATGGCGTTTGACCTACACAGACAGACACAAACGTAGCATACTTAATTTTTCATACAACTAACTAATTAGTTCCATTACTTAGGAATTAATTGGTCTAAACGTCGTTTACTCTTGTTAAATGCTTATGCAATGCAAATGGACATCAATTACGGGTGCAAAACACACTAATTTGGGTCTACTCAAAAAGTTGTTGGATTAAATAATATACACATATTTCAAATAGGACCTACGGGTAATTTTCCCATTTATTTTTTACCTTCTTTATCTATTAGATTTTAGTGAAATAAATAATTTTGCCCCAATTTTTTACCTAAATCTTTATCAGTTTTAATTGAATAATTTTTTTCTAATTTTTTTGCCCTAATTTTGTTTCATTAAATTGTTTTGTTTATAATTTTAAAAATTATATGTGCAAGTAAATTTTTTTGTAATTACAAACAAATAATTCATGAATTTTTTTTTTTTCAATATAAGAGGGGCCCTCATTTTCAAAATTGGCCTTCGACCCCCTAAAGCTCAGGGTCGGCCCCGGTTATGATGTCATTGCTATTCAACCGCTTCCATCTTCGGCAGCAGTTAGCTGAGACTCAACAACAGTGAGTTAATAATGCAGGCGCAAAAGCTGATTGATAGTGGTGCGAATTGTGTAGGTGTTTCTATACCATAGATCCAACTTTTGGTGTCATTGAATTCAAAGGGTTCAATTCAGATTTTACGGTGATGCTAGGGTAGATAGTAGAAGCTAATCTTTTTTCATACCAAAAAGGAAAAAAGAGCTAATCTTTTGAAGAAAATACTTTGAATAAAAAAGAAAGGAAAAAAAATATATATTATGATGAGAAACTAAACTATCAAGAATGTATATATGTATATTCTTCACGTGTATATTCTTCATTCTTTCTTTTTTTGTTTTGAGTAAAGTATATTCTTCATTCTTTAAGTTTATAACTTGTTCAAAAAAAAAAAATTTTTTTTGATTGACAAAAGAAAATGAAGAATATAGTTTTTTTTTTTTGTTTTTTTTAATTTTTTTTTTAAAACTAAATGAAGAATATAGTAGTCATTTGCTTTTGTTTTGTTTAGTAAATTATGCTAAAAGTTCAACTTTGCATCTTTTTCCATTAAACAAAAAAAACGACCAAAAGAAAAGGGGTTTTAGAATTAATTTCGTCAAATTATTTTTTAAGTTGGTCACAAACTATGCTTTAACTTTCAAAAGTGGATGTTGTTTTAAGAAGTGTTTTATAAGTTGGTTTTTCGACTTTATTAATGTGACCTTAAATAGAACTAGCACCCAGAAACTAGTAGTCACCACTTCAACATTTTTTTGACATTTGAAATTTTCTTTCAAAAACACTTAGTTGGTAGGTTTGTTTGTATAACCCTGAAAATTTGTATAAATGGTTATCAAGATTGTTAAAATTGAAATATTATTGATTGAAGTCTTGATTGATGATTGTATTACAAATCAGAGTGGCATTATATAGGAGAGGGTTTGGGTAGTAGGTGTAGTGTAGTGGAGGTGGTAGGTGAAGTGGGTGCTAGTGGAGATGGTAGGTGGAGGAGTAAATTGGTAAATTCTAACAGCCCCCCGCAAACTCAAGGAGGATAGGAACTAACCAACTTGAGTTTGAAGAGAGAAACAAAACAAGAAAATACATAAAAATAAAAAAAAAATAGGGGACACTGTATGGTTGTTATCAGTTATCTAATTTAACAAGTAAAAAACTCTTAGCATAATTTGAAAGAGGCTATGATAGGTAAAACAATATAAATAAATAAATAGTAAATATAATTTTAAAAATAAATTATTTATTTTTTTAAATAAATATGATGAAATCATGGCGGAATGTTAATTGTTTGAAGAAAAAATTGAGTTGTTTTTGTATGGTATAAAATAAGCTGTACAGAATCTCTATATTGAAATTCATAGTAATCAATTTTTTTTTAACAATTGAAATGAACA